CAATTAAAATATTTTTCACAAAATGTAGTTTATAATAGAATTGATCTATTACAAATGTTCGTTATTAAAATAAAAAATTCTTTGAAACACTATGATACTATGAGGGGGACTTAGAAAGAATTAAAATCAAAAATGTTTAATGTAGAAATGAACATTCTAACATATTCCGCATCGGAGTTATACTTAAATGAAAAAAAAAGATTTATATAAATAATTAAAATATTTAGGGGAAATATTGCATTGATAATTAAAATTGATTTACATTAATAATTGAAACATTTTCCAAAAAACTCGAAATGTAATATTGATCTAAAAAAATATTTTGAAAAATAATTTCTAATCTGGATACTTTGATTTTTAATTAATGTATTGATATGGCTTACAAAATTATTTCTAGCTATCGTGGTGCTCCATTTGCACCACATTTTTCAAAAACTTAAGCAATATTAGATTTTAATGAAATTGGTTTATAATTATTCGGATTTAACTTGCTTCCAACAATTTTATATATAGAAACAATATCGGCGTGTTTAAATTCACTCGGAAAATAATTATTTACAACAAACAAATTAAACATGTATGCTAAAGGGTCAGAGATTATGGACTGTTTGGATTTTATGAACTCCACACTAACTTTATCTGAACCGGGGGCAATATTATTTTTAAGCGAATCAATATTATTTATAATTTCAACATGTGTAATTGGTACGAAATAAATAGAATTAACAAATAAATTGCTTTTGGTTTTGATATTCGTTAAAGGTATTTTAGAAGCAAGATCTTTTTTTTTCTTTGCTCATTAACAAAAATTTATAATTTCTTTATAAGAGGCTTTTAATAATGCTTATAATTGATTATCGATATCGAAAGACATTTTATCAATACGAGCTTTCACAGTATTATTCGATAATGGAATTTCTTGAATTTTCTTTTTAGCTTCCGCACCTAAAATTTCTTCTACGGCAGTTAGTAAACAAGGTTTTAATAAATTTTCACCAATTGTGTGTGGTTTTTTTTGATTTTGCGATTAATTGTGAAATTTTAAATGACGCAGATAGAACTTTTTCGTTTGACTCAAATCTTGAACCACTATTGTTCCTAGTCTCATTTTTTTTAAATTTTCTGATTTACCCATGAAAAACTCTGGTGGCCGATCACTTAATTTAGGATGGACACTTTTTAAATGCCGTTCTAACTTGGCGGGTTTCAACGCGTCATTACTGAGAACGGCGGCACTTATTACACACTGTGGTCGAATTTCACGTTTAGTTTCGATTGCGATAAATTCAAATTGTATGTATCCATCGTCATACTTTCTTTTCAGATCCATATTTCGACAATCTAACACACGAAAAATTAAAAAGAGCACAAAAGTCGACTACGGAATACGGGTACGGAGAAACTAACAACAAAAACCAACAATATTATATTCAACTTTGAACATAATCTGTTAAATTGTGCAGATAGAATCTAATCTTAATGTAAATATGTAAAAAAAACATTAGATTATCTGTTTAAATAATAACATGGGTTTCACTATGTAATATAAATTTATAAATACATTTATTTATAAAAATATTTTTAAGTTTTGTAAGTAAGGCTCGCGGACCACCTCACAATGTCTCGCGGACCACCTGTGGTCCGCTGACCATAGGTTTGGAATCTATGTTCTAGAATATTCTATAGATAACTAAAATCCTACTACGTCACATGTATCTACGGATATCCTCAGTAAAAAAAAAACCATATATATAGAATAAAAAATAATAAAATATAATAAAATGTTCGTTGACCTACATATTATTTTTATATTATTACGATGTTAATATAATGTACAAAAGTAGTTCGACCCAAAAATATATTTGTTAAAAACATATATTGAATGCCTTGAAAATAAAATTATTTTTTTTGAACAATCGTCGTATGTATTATCATACTCGTATATTGAAAAGCATAAAAAGTTATGTATGTATTATCATGTATGGAAATCGAACAATATCTTGAAATATAATAGTAATACCTATTATAATCTTATAATATAGTAATATTATATCTAAGGAGTATCGGAGCGTTAAACATCTAACTGTAAACATTAAATATATATGTTAGTTTTTGAATGTCCGTGTTAATGTAAGTGTAATTAACCGAATTTTTGTCTTTGGAATATAATACAACTAATAACGATTTCGAATTATGGCCACTTTCCTATAAAACGGAAAAGATAAAGGCGTGCTGAAGTGTTACTCAATATATCTTCTACTCTATAAATGAGTATCTGTGTATGTTAAGGAGTAAACGTTGTTAAGATTATTATACTTGCGGAATGTGGATATTCAAAAATATTATATATTGAATATATTAATTATATACCTAACTAATAATTGAATTTTATAGATTTTTATTGCAGGTGTTATCTGTTCGTGGATGCCGGATACTGCTTAAGTTAGGATTACCTGAAAAATAAACTTATTATACAATTAGTAAAGTTTGTGTATTATAAAATATAATATATTCTATTGTAGACGAATTGAAAGTCCATGTGCCGCTCAATATTATTATATATATTTTCAATTAATTTATACCTATATTAATTAAAAATATTTTCAAAAAACACTTAATTAAAAACGAGAGTAATTTAAGATTTGTACAATTTAGGTAATCGGAAATCAGAAAAAAATACAAAACATCCTCGTTCAAATTTATCAAAACTATTCCAAGTGAAAAAATTATAAAACATATTTTAGATAATGAATTTAAACTAGTTCTACCCGATAGAGGAATATAGATTTATTATTATTAATTGTATTTGTAATATTTTTTTTTGTGGTTGAATGTTGTCATTTTAATTGAATATTGCACGATGAACGAATTCCTTTTTATAAAAAAAAAAACAAGAAAATGAACTAGTTCTTTTTTTAAGGAAAAATAACAAAATTGTTCGTTCCTTTCTAGTTCAAATAATTTACACTGATAAGTAGGTAAAAATTGAAATTAAGATATATTTTTTTTAATTTTTATAATGTATATTGCTAATTAGTGATGTATGTCGATACGTTAGCTAAAAATGTAATTCTGAAGTAAATCTCAAAATATATAATAATATATTACATAAACATATAAAATATGTACCTACTTGTAGATATATATTAAAATTAAAAATTAAAGAAGTAAATCATAATATGAAAAAAAAACATTAATGATTAAATAAAAATTTTTATTTTATTTGGAACTAAAAAAGGAACTCGTTAATTTTCCATAGGAACAACCAAGGAACGAATTCTTTTTTTTTAAGTAACAAGGAACGGAACGAATTCCGTTTTATAAGGAACTTGCCAAACACTTTTACATTCCTTGGGTGTTTAACTGGAATGCTTGGGGCTGGAGGAACATCTTTGATAGTTTCAAAAGAAATGTCTAAGCATTATTGTTAAAAGATTACAAGTATTATTATTTATTAGTATTTATATTTTAAAGCTTGTCCTAATTTTTTCTCTTCGTCTTTTTCAATAATACTAAACAGCCAATCTTTAAGTTCATTATTATTAGAAAGTGAAGCTGGCCAGTTTGAACAAGTACTCACTTGCCGAAACTATCGGCAGCGAGATGGTGCGAAAATTCTCACCTCAGATTTATATTTTGTTAAATTAATTTTTTTTTTTTAACCAAAATGTATTACAATTTAGGTTTACAGTTTAATAAATTTATTTTTTATTTGTAATAATAAAAATATAATTTACGGTTTGTTAATTTTTTAAATTTTTTTACTAGGTTTTTTACTTTAAACCCTGCACACGCCACACGGTGCATATGTATTATATATGTATTATATAATACAATACATAATACGGTATTAATACCATGTAACATATATAAATATATTTATTATGTGTATCACGTATTTTGAATCTTATATTCAAAATATATTTTATCAATGATCAAAGTAATTATTATTAATAATTGTATTATAATAATAATATAATATAATAATATTTTGGTGCAATATTCCCATTGTACAATAATATGTTGATAATGCATTCAATATACATATGAATAAGATAGTATAATAGTACTTATTGCAAGTTGTGTAAATACTGAAAGTACACGTAGTTCGTTTCAATTCGCGTTCGTAAGGCCCCGTATTCGTCTATATTACTCTATGGTTATTATCATTCAGTGTATTTCTTGTTTCCATTCCCTCATAGATTTAGGAATATCCATATTTCTGAAAAATTACAAAAAGTACCAATTTATAATTCAAATAAACCAATAATTTTCAAAATAATAAAATTTTCATATTTTAATTATAAATTAAAATGTTAGATAATTTTATAATATTTTTTTTAATAACACATTCTTATGGATTTAATACATATAGTTCTTCAGAATTAATGATGTTTATGAATTTAATTCCAAAAGGTGGAGATTTACATAACCATTTATCAGGAGCTTTATTTTTTGAAGATTATTTAAGTATTTATAATAAATTAAATTATTGTATCGATATTAGTACATTTAAAGTAAGTAAAAATCATTCTAGTAATTGTAAATCTTTTGATGATTTAGATATAAATATATATAATGAAATACGTAAAAGATGGTCGATTTTAGATTATAACTCTGAAAAAATAAATTTAAAAAAATTTTTTGATATTTTTAATTATATTCATCTTCCCATGGATTGCAAAAAAGAAGCATTATTAATTTTAAAATCAAGGGCAATAAATGAAAATGTACAATATATAGAATTCATTTTAGGTTTGGGTTATTTTATAGAAATAGATTGGTATTCAAAAAATATATCATTTGATTTAAACAATATAAATGTTTTAATAAAAATGTTTGATAATGATACTGTAAAACAATCTAATATTGATCAGGCAATAAAAACAATAAATAATTTTAATATAAGTGATAATAATTTTACAGTTAAATATTTAATGTCAATAGACAGAAATTTAAATCCATATATATTTTTTGAACAAATTTATTATGCATCAAAAATGTGTGATAAATCAGAAGAAATTGTAGGTATTAATATTTTAAATCAAGAAGATAATAAATATTCATTAATGTATTTTGATATACAAATGAAAATTATTAAATATTTTAAAGATATGTTTAATTTAAAAGTATCTATACATTCTGGAGAACTTACTACGAAAATAACTACACCTGAAAATTTATATCATATCCATAGTTCTATAGATATTGCTAATAGAATTGGTCATGGTGTTGATATAATGTATGAACCAAATTCAACTAATATAATGAAAAAAATGCAAGATGAAAAAATTGCAGTAGAAATAAATTTATTAAGTAATACATTTTTATTAGGAATAAAACCAATTGATAATCCTATAAAACTTTATATGAAAAATGGTGTTCCTGTTGTTTTATCAACCGATGATGCTGGTATTTTAAGGACAACATTATCAGAACAATATTATATTTTAATGGAAAATTTTCATTTAACTTTTACAGAATTAAAAGATATAATATACAATGGAATATTGTATAGTTTTCTAAATGAAAAAGAGAAAGAAAAACAATTAATTATTTTAGATAAAAAATTTATCGAATTTGAAAATATATTGAATAATAATAAATTATAATAAATTATAATTTTAGGATTAAAAATAATTCTAAATAATTTCTAGTCTTTAATGTGTTAATAACAATCTTTTTTTGTTTTAAAAATCTATTTAACTTTAAATTTTAATGAAGTCAAGAAAACCAATTTTTTTTTTAACATTTAATTATTCGCTCCCTATAAAGGTTTAACCGAATAATTCTGTATTTATAATAATATTATTTTAAATACAGAATTATTAGTGGGACTTAAAAGTACCGCTGGTACGGAAAAAAAATAAAATATTTTAATACATTTCAGATAATAATTAACCATCCAGATATTTATCAATATAATAATCATGATAGTTTTTATTTATTTTCTAATTGTATGTAGTGTTATAAAAAATGTATACCTTTCAAAGATATCATCGAAAATCAATCAAAAAAAGTATTTTTAAAAATAATAAAAAACTTATAAAAATTATAAGTTGCATATATGAACAGAGATAAGAATTAGGTTAAATTCAATAATATAGTTTTTAAAATTTCATACAAAGGAAAATGTACTTATTATATATATTTTCAGTTTGATTTCATCTTTAGAAGAAATAATTTCTAAATCAATTTCATCATCATTTAGAATTTCATCAATAGAAATTATTTCTAAATCTTTATTTAGAATACCAGAAATATTATCCCAATCAACTTTATCTTTAAATTCACGAATAAAATCTTCTGAAAAACTTTAAAATATTGAAAGAAGTTTCCAATCAACTTTATCTTTAAATATTCTAATAAAATCTTCTGATAATTTCTACCCCAATCTATTTTTTCTTCAATCTGCATAACTAAATCTTTTATTGTCATAATGATGTTTGTAATTTTGAGTTTAATATTTCTAAAAATAAATTTTCACATATCAATTTTATTTTGGGTCACTTTTGTGTATCTATTTTCATGTAATTTTTACTTCAAAATAAAATTATAAATACTGAAAGGGATAAAACAATTTGTTATTTTTATCCTTAGTTGCATGTATTCAACCTATAATTTTATATATTTTATTTATTTGAAAATTTTATTTATTTTAGTATCAAGAAAAATAAATTACAAATAAACATAAAAGAATTATTCAATTGATGAACCGGATAAAACAGTTTTTAAAAATATAATAAATTATTATCTGTCTATTAATTGTGGATTAAATTATTATTTAAAAATGTTTTCAATATTTTTATATTTATTTATAAAATAATGATTACCATTCTTAATCAACAATAAATGTGAGATTTTCAAATATTCACAAATAAAAACTGAAAAAAAAATATAAGCTTGTTGTTTTTTTAGATCTAAAAAAAGCTTTTGATACTGTCGGTCACGAAATATTACCATTAAAATTGCATAATATGGGAATAAGAGGAGTTGCTCACAATTAACTTAAATCTTATTTAGAAAATCGAGCATGTTGCCCAAAAATAGGCACAACAAAATAAATAAAAAAATTAATTACTTGTAGTGTTTCGCAAGGTACATTTCTTGGTCCTTTAATTTTTATTATTTATATTAATAGGTTGACGAATATAAAAGTAAATGGTAATTTAATACTTTTTGCAGACGATACTGCCTTAGTTATAGACGCAGATAATCCAACAGATCTATATAAAAAACCTAATATCGATCTTTTTAAAATTAGAAATTGGCTAATGAAAAATAAACTGTCTCTAAATTACTCCAAAACTCAATATATAGATTTTTCAGAAGAAGCACGTAATAATAATAATTTAACAATTCATAATTACTCTTGTAAAAACACTTATAATAATTCAAATATTTGTAATTGTTCTCCTCTGGAAATTGTTGAGGAATATAAATATTTAGGTTGTATATTTCTAAAATTAATAAATCCCTACCTTCCATTAATGTTGCAATAGAAACAAGTTTTAAAAGATCTGTGTACTCTGCCTTAGTCCAATCTCTTTACAATATGCGATAACTATTTGGGGAGATTCCTATAATTTAAACCAACTTCGACATTTACAAAATTCTATTACATCCAAATATAACATAGAAAATATTGCGTCCATGCGAGAGCTTTTAGATCACAGATTGAAAAAATAATTTTATGAACTTGATTATTTAATATTGCAATATTTTGATATATTTACGTATTACTAGTAGATGTATTTGTTCATGTGTCGCTTAATATATAATTACTGACCTACTTTAATTTTAATTTTAACAAAATTATTGTGACAAACGGTGTCGATTCAGAATAATATTTTAGCAACAACATTATCGCCGTTATTCACTTCCGTTCATGTAATGACATCGTGTATTATATTTTAACATTGAACGTTTATCGTTGTGGATGTTATGTGTGCGTATGTGTGTATGTATGAATGTTTGTACAGGAATCGAACAATAGTGGAACATAATATCTGAATGTGAACGTAAAGCGTTTTACGTCGTACGTCCCCATTGTTACGTTAGCATATATTATAATAGTATTAATATGTATAGTATCAAAAAAAATAACCATAAAAAAAAAAAAAAAAATTTAACTTGCAACGTGAACGTAAACGCTGGACGTTCAACGTCTTACGTTCACGTTGTTACGTTGTTGGGTTGAGCGTTTAACGTTTGTGTTGGGCGTTTGGCGTTTGCGTTGGATGTTGAAAGTTTTTTTGCATCTATGTTTACTTAGGTTGTCTATTTTTTATGGATTCAGATCTTAATACAAACTATAAATTATAATACATTAAATTTACAAAACCGCGATGGATTTCCATCCGTGCGTTGGTCAGAGAATGTTGAAACACTTTCCCCCCAGGTTTAGCGTCAATTAGCTATTTTATGGAAAATTTCAGTGGAGAGCGCCGGCAGACTAACAACGACTTCTTTATACGGCCACAGAGTGTAAAATAATTTATTACTAACAAAATGTTCTAGAATAGTCGATAGATTCGATACGTCAGACGTTATCTATACGGATATCCTCAGTAAAAAAAAAACCACATAGATATTTATAATAAAATGTTTGTAGACCTACATATTATTTCTACATAAAATATTACTTTAATGTTTAAAAATTCTAGGCGAAAATATATTTATTAAAAACATATATTGAATGTCTTGAAAATCATATTCCGTTCATTTTTTAACAATCTTATTCTAAAACTCGATGCCAAGGATGATAATCTATGTATTATTTGTTTTTGTTTCTAAATACAAACTCGGTTTTTGAATGTCTACATTTCGTTAGCGTAATCAACCTGAATTATTGTCTTTATTCTATAAACGAAAATTTAAGACGTGGTGTAATTACGAATTTGGTTGGGGGGGGGATATACGGTTTTAGCAAACATTAATGGTCATTACCAATACTTCGATCAAAATGTTAGCAGTAAAAAAAAAGTTTTCTAATCCCCTCCCCTAATTACGCCCTGGTGCTTGTATACAACACAACTAATAACGATTTCGAATTATTGCCACTTTCCTATAAAACGGAAAAGATAAAGGCGTGCTGAAGTGTTACTCAATATATCTACTCTATAAACGAGTATCCGTATATGTTAAGGAGTAAACGTTATTAAGATTATTATGCTTGCGGAGTGTATATGTTCAGAAATATTATGTATTAAATGTATTAATTATATGATTATATTTTCAAGATTCCCATCTCTTGAAATTAATTAATTATTTCATACATGTTCAATTGCAGATATTAGATTTTTTAAATAAATTATAAGATTGTTCTAAAAAGATAGGAATATGATCATTAAAAATAAATTAATATTATTCAATTAAATGCGGAATGTAACCATTCTTCAGGTAATCTATAAAAGTGTTATCGGGTAGAACTAGTTTAAATTCATTATATAAAACAACAGTTAATTTTTCATCATATTTAGTTTTAATAAATTCAAAGGAAGAAATGTGGTATTTTTTCTGATTTCCTATTCGCTAAATTTTACAAATTTAAAATTACTTTCGTTTTTTATTATGTGTTTTAAAGTTTTTGAGAATATTTGTGACGAATATATAAATGAATTGAGAATAATAATTATATTGAGCGGCACACGGATATTCAATACGTCTTGAGTTCTTTAATATTATTTTACTAATTGTACTTTTTCTCGTTTACTAACTTCTTTAGATAACTTAATATTAATTCCAGTTAATTTGTTGGTGTTATTATTTGCCCAATAAACATAATTTAATCGTTTTGATGTGTTATCTACAATACAACAGCTATTCTCCAAAGTGTTTGTCAGTTTTTTCCACATTATGGAGATTGGAACAAAATAAAAAGGAGCTATAGGAAAATATGATTTATTTTTTTCCAAAATGCCCATACAATGTTCTCTTAAATCATACTTTTCTTTTGCAGTTAAATGCTTATTAGTATAATTATAAATAGTTATTTCCAATCTTGTAATTCCATTTTTTTGCGCTAACTCACTTTCAAAAGTTTCCTTCATTCTCCTGTCTGGACAATTTAAAAAATCTATTATATGATTCCCAAGTTGTTTATTTATGCCAGGACTTGTCATTTGACAAACGAATTTATCAACATTTTTGCTATAGAATACTCAATCAACCAAGTCTTTTCCAACTGTTTTGTCATTATCCACAATTCTATTATCTTTTTTAGAATCGGATAGAGAAAAAGAAAAATTAGAAGTCTAATATTTTTTCTTTAAAAATACCTTCAAAATCTTGTGTAATATCCAAATATAATAAAGAAACATGTGCTTTTAAAAACATTGCTTTTACACCATGCCCTGGTAATGTAAATTCACGAAATGTGTTGATCTCAACAATCTATCACAACCACCACAAGCATCTTTATCAACTAAAAATTTTTCATTTTTATTTCCCCTAAGTAATATCTAAAATCTAGTATTTTTGTTACCATAATACTATCGCAAAATGCATCTGATATTTCGTTAAAATCTTGCAATAATTGTTCTCCATCTGTATAGTTAATATCCCTAACATTAGTAACTAATTATTATTTTTTGTAATCTCTGTTAAAATCTTAAATAATATTTTCTCCATTGTTGGCTTAACATTTTTTCCAAGTATTTCTGTAATAGAGTGTATATTGGTAGTTGACATTTAAATTTTCAACTACTTTATTAAAACAAACTCAATTTTATATTTTTTATTTAATATTAATCATAATGGTATATAATGATTTATTTTTCAGAAATAAACTAATTAATTAATGAATGTTATAATTTCTCATCTTTTCTTACTCGTTTACTCAACTATAGCTATAGCTTTCGAATTTTCCAACAATTCTAATTTCAGACATGTTAAGGTTAACTGGCAACATTTACGGCATTTTTTCTACAACTCAAACACTTTCCAACTGCTCAACAACTCAACCTCTGAAATCTATGGCATTTTTCAACATTTCAACAGGAATCGACCTCTCAACAGAAACCAAGTCTCTTTTATGTATTTTAAAAACTGTAAAACTTTTAAAATTTAAGGAAAAATTGTGTATAAGGAATGTTTTTAAAATTGGATAATTTTTAGAATCCTAAGGCAAAATTGTGTATAAGTAATATAGTTTAAGGTAGTTGAAAGTACTTTTTTCGTACCTATCTGAATATGCAAAATGTTTTAATAATTATTGCAATTCATGAATATGCAAAATATTTAAAGGAATTTTGCATTTCAATTTCTATGAAAAATAATTTAGGAATTATTGCATTTAAATGACATGTGTACTGAAATGCCCCATATACTACTACCATTGATTATGAATAGTATATAAGTATCATTATATTATAGTATTGCATTTAGTTAAAGCACGATTTAAGATAGTACATTTAAACTTTTAACTATGTATCTATGAAATCTAAAACGTTTAATACATAATAATACCATTTAAATTGAGTAGGTGTAAGTGTGTAATACTTCGTTAATACAATATAAATATTTTGTATCTTTAAGTTCATAATTATTATGTGGATAGGATAGCATAGGTATAGATTATAGGCATACGGCTGAAAGAATAACAAAATAATTGTATTTTCTGAAGCGTGTAATCCTGCACATATACTGTTATGCATAATACATACAATTAAAAATAAAAATATTATATTCATTATATTGTATTTTATATATATTATATACCTACCTAATGTACCTACGTATGAACCGGTAAATGTAAGTTGTGGCACGGTATTTGCCCTTTTAATTTCTCTGCAGGTGCCAGGTACTAAAGACATGCAAGGGCCGGGTCCTTAAAAAGCCCGGCCCGTAATGACATTGGACCGGGCCGGGCCTTTGAAATAAAATAAAAGGTTCGACGGGGCTTTTTAAGTCTTGGAATTTTATTCCGGGCCAGGCCTGGGTTTCTTTTTTGGGCCGGGCCAGGCTAGACTTCGAATAATAAATCAAGGGTTGAACCAGGCTTTTTAAGGATTTTTCTTCGACAATAAATAATCACAATTTAAAATAATAAATAATATTGAAAAAAACCGAGGTTAGTACCGATAGATACATATAGAGTATACTCTGTGGATAGTAGATACAATCACAATGAATATAATAATATATTGATTGGTGGGTATAATAAAGCTATTTATATAGGTACCATAATAATATTATATTTTTTTTCACAATATTTTTTGGACCAGACCGGGTCGGGGGGCTTGACAATAAAATTGATGAACCGGACCGGGCTTTTTACGAGCTTGGCATTATTTTCGGACCGGGCCAGGGCTTTTTTTCACAATATTTTTTGGACCGAGCTTGAGGATAAAATTCATGGACCGAACCGGTCTGAAAATTTACGGCCTTTGCAGGTCTATGGCAGGTACATACGTAAGTTGAGTTCCATGTGTCCGACATAGTGACATGTATACGTTAATTGTGTTTTGTGGCTATAGATGGCTAGCCGCAGGGACGCCCAGACAATTTGCAAAGATCGGGCAGAGTAAAAGTTCAGGACCTAAAATGTAATTTTGCATATGTAATATATTTATTTTTTTTTTATTCGGGTCAGGCGCATAGTAAAACAGTAATAATAATAAAAATAGTATGACACTAAGTAAATAGATAAAATGAAATAACCTATGAATGTTTAATTTAATATTATGGTACTATTGTTGAGTGGTTGAGGACGTTATTGGTGGATTTATATTGTTTCTGCCCAGATGCTGGCCACGTTAATTTCTTTTCTTGTGCCTTTTTGAATGTCTTTTGGGGTACAGGTTTTTCAGCAAGCTGTGCATGTGATAATGAATTGCATTGTCAATTCTGCAACATATATATGTAATATATACATAAAAAGGGGCAAGGGCACGGAAATAGACTTAAAAATATAGCGTACCTTGTGGTTTATGTACCTAAAACAACATGAATAAGTAAATAAATTAATAAGACAACACGCTAAATACCTACCCTCTTAAACTTAATATAATAATATTAATAATTTAATAAGTCAAAATGTATTATGAATACTAAAAAGTATTTCTTGGGACAGAATGCTTCGAAGATAGTTTTTATTTTTAATTTTGAGCAATATATGAGGAGCCTTGTATTAAATTTTTACACTTTTTGGCCCAACAGATAAAACTTTATCGAAATTTATAGAATAAAAAACTAAAAATATTGGAAACTGAGAATGTCCGTAAACAGCTCAAAAAGAGTCAAAATATTTTCAAAATTGAATGGTGTATAGGAAATGCTAATATAAATATTCATTAAAATTTTCATGTATCTACAGTTATTCGTTTTTGAATTACAACAAAATAAGGAAATCGCTACATAAGAAATCGAGTGAATATCCAATGTTGTAAAAATTTGAATTTCAAACGCTCATAAAAATTTAATTTGACTTTCCGGTAGAGATTTTTTTATTGATAAAGGTAGACAAACTTATGAGTAATCTTGTATTACATTTTCAAATCTTAGATTTAAAAAGAAAAATTTTTTTTAATTCTTAACTCAAAAGAATTTGCTAATTTTCGTGATTTTTCCATATTTTTACAATTTTTGAACTTTAAATGCTTATAAAAAAAAATTGTGACTAACGATTTTTAATATTTTTAATCTGCCTTTGAAACAATACACTAGGAGCCTTCTATTAAATTTTCAAGCTTTCGAAACCAGCAAATACAATTTTATTGATATTTTTAGAATAAAAACTAAAAAAGGTGGGCAAGTGGGTGTCGCTCTGCTGTACAGTAGGTTACAAGTGGGTCACTGTATAATGGATGATATTACATTTGAATTCAACGATATAATATCATTGTATAAGAAAAACGATTCTGAGAGGAGATGGTATGTAGGTCTAGGTATAAGACATATTATATATGATAATCTATGGTATATCTAATGCCAATATAAACAACCAGTGAAAATTGCATGTATATACGTTCATTTGTTTTAGAGTTACACCAAAAACCAAAATCGATTTTTTGGAAAACAGATTTTGCGTAAAAATTCCCGTTGTTCCTTAATTTGTATGTGTTTAATCCCGGCACTTGTGAAAACTATTGGGAATTTTAAAATTTGACCTCCCGAATGCACCAACTAGATTCACTTTCCAATCGAACAAGATACTGAAGTTGAAAATCGAAGCATTATTTCGACTACTTATCGTGTACACAGACACAAAAAAAAAAATTAAAAAATTAAAAAAAAAACACACATCATTGTAAAATCAATACATTCATCGTTCCACTCAGAATCTAAAATGATGCAGCGATTCGCGAACGCAAAGAGAAAAAGAACGTTTGTTTTCGGTCGACGTTACATAAAACCGACTTCTTTTGTTTTGAGGCGATCGATGATGTGAATTTTACAAAAATGTATAGGTACATCTAATTAGTCAATAATATGTTTATGAATAAAATAATAAAAAGTGACAACCCGACGGCCGACGAAGTCAATAGTTAGTTGTAAACGGTCAACTTAAATAAAGTGATTTTCCTGTGACAGTGTGACCCACAAGGCCATAACCCATTGATATATATTCAGTGGCGCAAATCTAGGGGAGCGGGGGGGGGGGGCGACTGCCTCCCTTAAATTTAATTACAAGTCTTAAAAACAAGTGGACTAACAACAGTATTTCCCCATCTATATACTTCGCTTAAAATTGGGGTAACCTTGACATTGGCTAGCGCCACTACGGAACGGAGTTTTTCAAAACTTTCCATACTTAAAAGTTAATTAAGAAGCACATTGACAGAAGACCGATTAGATGCATTAATGATAATATCGTGAGAATCAGATATTGATATCAATATTGACAGTGTTATTGATGTATTTTCAAAAAAAATTTCCTTTCTTTTAAATTCACTGATTTATTAAAATATATTAAAGTATTGTGTTAGTAGAGTATTTAAATATCTTTAACTATTCTACAGAAATCATTTAAATCATAATAAATTACCCATACAAAAATATCTAAGCATATGATGTATAAATAAAGATTTTAGATATCAAATTTTTGTATAAAAATATTTTATACTTTTTTTTTAATTAAATGAAAAAATAAATTTGAAAAATGAGGTATGAGTTTAATTTA